CAGGAGGGAAAACGAGTGGCCCTTGGGCACGCCAAATAGCAAACACATCTCTGGGGCACACTGAAACCCACTCTGGTTTTAGGAAGCGCTGTCTCTCAGCCCCACAGCGGTGTGACTAAAGCAGAGGATGGGTAGCTGGGGCTATCTGGGGGCTCGCCATTTTACAGCCCCCTCTTCCACAAAGCGGAAAATAATTCACCCATGAGGAGGGAGATGATGCTGATGGGAAATGGCAGGACTGAGCCGAGGGGCCACGGGCAGCAGCGTAGTCCTCTGTCCCCAGCAGCTGAATTTGGTGCTGTGACTGTACCCAGGGCCACACTCCCGGCCACCTACTGCCTCCCCGACTGGGTCCACCTGGGTGTCCCGAGGAGCAGGACCCAAAGCTGGACTCAGAAGTGGTCCTGCAGAGAGGTAACGGTGGGGCAGAGGAACGACAGGGACAGGAGCCAGGCAAGGGATGAGGCAGGGGCAAGAGAAGGCCAGGGGCAGGGACAGAGACAGTGCAGGGGAAGGGGCAATGGCAGGAGCAAGGACAGGGAAAAGGGAAGGGCACGGGCAGGAATGGGGAAGGGCAGATGCCAGGGACGGGGGCAGTGCGGAAGTGGGGGCACAGACAGGGATAAAGACAGGAAGAGGGCAGGGACAGCGCAGTGGCAGTTGTGGTGTCAAGGGCCGGGCTGGGCAATGGGCAGGGACAGGGACAGACTCAGGAGAAGGAGCAGGGTCAAAGGCAAGGCAGGGACAGGGACAGGGACCGAAGCACTGGTGTGAGCAGGGGTATGTAAAGGGCAGGGACAGGGACTGATGTTGGGCAGGGGCAGGGAAAGGGCAAGGGGCAGGGCCAGTGATGGTCACCCTGTGGCTGCTCAGGCTGGGTACTCCACCCTGGCTCCTGAGCAAGGGCTGAGTCCCAGGGGAGGCTTTTGGGGCCACTGGGACCTTCTAGCCCTGCCAGTGGCCAACTTGCCAGCCATGCTGGGCACCAGGAACCCACCACCTCCTGCTGCCAACCTGTGGTCATTGCTGCCATCAGAGTCTGGTAAGGACAGCGGAACTGGGACCCACGCACTGGTGGGCAGTCAGGAGCAACGGGGCTGCAATGGGCCCTGCCATGGCAGTGAGGAGCAATCCCAATAATGCCTGCAGCAGGACCAGGGCTTGCGAAGGCCATTGTGGCCATCATGCCACCATGCAGGTCACACAGAAACTCATATGTTGGCATAACCATGATGTTGTTATGGTTGGGCCCACAGGCTCATGGCCGTGCCGGCTGTTTTTTTGGCAGGGGACCATCAGTGGTAAGGGGACACCCCGGGGCACCGCAGGCCCCTCCCTGGTTTGCAGGAGCTCCTCCAGCGGTGCCTGAGGCGGGGGGATGCCTCAGCCGGGGGTTCCCTCCTCCTGCAGCTGCTGAGCCCCGGATCTCCCAGGGGCCGCAGCTCCCCCAGCCACAGGACACCAACCCCGGCTGTCCTTCCCGGCAGGAAGGGCACGTGCCACCATGTCCGCTGTGCAGGTGCTGGCAGTTGCCACAACCATTGCAACAGTCGTGTTGCAAAAAGCAACGACCTGCCTGTTGATCCCAAAACAACACCCTACCCCCCTGCCTGTGGCCTCAGGGCTCTCCGCTTGGTGACCCAGAGCACGGCCCAGGCAGCAGCTGGTGTGTGAAGGAGGTGATGACCATGGGCCACCCAGTGTCTGGCTGGAGGGGGATGCCTGACCACGCATGCCCCGGTTCTGCAGGGGGACATGTCCTGACCTCCACAAGCTGGGGCAGGCTGCTGGCACCCCCACCTACCTGTGGCCAGGGAGGGGCCAGCACAGCTGAACATTAACCCCGGGGCGGTGTCAAGGGCTCCCTGGCAGCGTGGCTCCCAGCACCCCAGCAGCACCTGCAGGCCCACGATGAGAGGGTTCTGTGCCCGCTACCACCTTCTGTTAGGTCCTGCGTGGTGTGGCAGGCTTCCAAGTGGCAGTGTGGCCGCTGGGAACGAGCCCACTGGCCAGGCTGGACACATGGCCAACTGGACAGACAGGGGCTACCCTGGGGCAAGCGAGGGGCTGGGGAGGTGAGGAGGGTGATGGGCACACTCGGGACCTGCCCCTTTAGCCCCGCTGCACCCTGAGGGCCAGGACATCTCCTGCCACATGGGGCTGCCCTCGTTTTTCCCTCTCATCCCCTCAGGGTGTTTCTTGCCCATCCCCACCAGCAGCAGGGACCCGCTGGCCACCCACCCTCAGGCAGGGGCTGCACCCACAGCCACCCCGAGCACGTGGCCAGCTGAGACACTTGTCACCAGCTGCCATCAGGAAGGACCAAGGCACATCCCTGTCCCCACATGCACTGTGGGACCAGCCTGGCTGTGGGCAAGGAGGGACAGTCATGGCCGGGCTTCACCCCTTCTGCTGGGGCTGATATTGGGCTGAGGTTGTGGAAGCCTCCCCGCCTCCTCTTCTTCCTCACTGCCTCCTCTTCCCTGGGCAGTCCCACACCTTTGAACTTCCGTGTGCAGTGGTGGCATGGCCTGACAGGGCGCCAGGGTACGGCATGGCACAGCATGGCACGGCAGAGCTGTTGGCAGCTGCGCTGGAGCCATCAAACGCCCATCCTTGTCCCTTTGGGCCCCTTCCCCAGCCCCTGGACGCGGGGTGGGAGCTGCCCCAGGCCGGGTGGGTTTGGGGATGTTGCTCCCTCAGTGCTGCAGGGCTGCCCACCTCCACCTGCCTCCAGCCTGAGGAGGACGAGGAGCTGCCCGTGGGCTGCGGGGAGCCTGCCAGAGAGGGGCAGCCGAGCTGCGAGGGAGCCACGGCAGTGGCCCCAGCCCTGGAGGAGCCATGCAGGCTAGTGCTGAGCACGCCAAGCAGCGTCCTGCGCGTCAAGGAGATCCAGGAGGTGAGGGACCCTCCTGCTAGCATGGGGACACCACCCTCACCTTCCCTGCACCACACGGCCATGGCCATTGCCCTGCCAGGAACTGGTCCAGTGCGAGGCCAGATGGGTGAGGGGTCCAGGGGGAGGATGCTCAGCGAGACAGCTCAGCAGGGTTCTCAGGGTGAAGATGCTTGGGGGGAGCATCCTGGGAAGCTGCTGGGGGCTGGGAGCATGAAGACACCCGCACCCCTCAGGAGCATGCTTGGTAGAAGGGGAATGCTTGGGAACACATTTTTGAGGGTGCTCAGGTGGGAGGAGGTGTCTTGAGAGGACACTTGGAGGGGGAGGGTGCTTTTGGAGATTTCTTGGGGGGATGCTTGGGGTGGAGGAGAGGAGGCTGCTAGGGGAGAGCTCCTGGGGGGATGCTCGGGGCGGGGGCAGGATGCTCAGAAGCAGCCTGCCAGTCCTGACTGAGCCTGCTCTGCCCCAGCTGGGCCCCCACCTGCCCCCCCGGCTGACGCAGCAGCCCTGGCACCTGCTGTACTGCACTGGACGGGACGGCTTCAGCCTGAGGACACTGTACCGCTGCGGGGGCAAGACGGGCTCCCCGGCCCTGCTGCTCATCAGGGACACGGAGGCACAGGTAGGGCCAGGCCCCCCCAGCCCTGCTGCTCCACAGTGCTGGGGGCAGCGAGCCTGGTGTCCCCTGGGCCTGGCCACGGCCTTGCCGCTGCTAGCAGGATTCTGGCATTGGGGAGCCCCCTTGAGCACTGCGGCATGGGACTCCCCCCTCTCCGTCCCCCCAGGCTTTCGGTGCCTTCTCTGCCACCACCATTCGCTGCAGCAATGGCTTCTATGGGACGAGAGAGAACTTCCTCTTCTCCTTCTCCCCAGACCTGAAGGTGGGGGCCGCAGGCTGCCAGTCGTGGGGTCCCACGGGGTGGGGGGGACCCTGGGAACCGGCCAAACCAGAGGGTCCCCAAGTTGCTGGGGAGGGGTCTGCGATGATGGTGTAGGCTGACATGACCACACTTGGGCAAAGCAGCCAGGGGACCCTGCCTCGGGCTCCTGTAATCCCATGGGGGAGGGGGTTAGGGAAGGCGACCCTGCCCAGCCGCGTGTCACAGGGGAACCTCCACATGCCAGGGTGGTCACAGCCTGGCCTCAGTGGGATGTGGAAGCAGCTTAGGCACATCTGCCTGCACCAGTGGGGGTCTGTGAGTGTGATGGAGCTGGTGGTATCAATGGGTGGCAGCTGTCCTCTGCAGGGGGAGGCCCCAAGGCTTGACCAGATCTTCCTGTGGAGAAGCAGGACATGGTGGGGATGGGTAAAGCCAGCTTTGCTCAGCAGCCCCCAGCTGTCCCTTGCAGGATGGCGACAAGGATGGGGACAGGGGCGCTGTGCCCTGGCCTGCAGTCCCAGCTGACTGCTGTCCCCATGCAGGTGTTCAGGTGGACAGGCAGGAACAACTTCTTCATGAAAGGGGATGTGGACCTGCTGATGGTCGGTGGGGGCAGGTAGAAGCCATGCCAGCAGCTTTAGCAGCACATGGGGTCCCCAGCCCCAATGGCACTTGGGGCCACAATCCGAGCCCAGGCTGCCTTGCGGAGCTGGGTCTGGACATGTGCTGGTGGTTTGAAGACAAAAACAGCCCAGTGGAGGTTGTGCAGCAACACTGGACCTGACTCTGCTGCTGGCAGGCCTGCCTGCTCCCTGCCTGCAGGCAAGGTGGCAGCTGGTCATGTCTTGTCCCCGTTTTGCCCGTCCCTTTTGCCTGGCATCTCAGCAGGAGGGCACCCAGGAGTGGGAATGGGGAGGTGGCTCAGGAGGTCTCCAGGCATGGAGGAGGCAGGAGAGGGGACCCTCAGCTGTTGGCACCTTTCCAGTGGCAGATTTGGGCTGTGGCTGGACGGATACCTGCACCACGGGGGCAGCCACCCCTGTGAGACCTTCGACAATGAGACCCTCTCATCCCGGGGGGAGTTCTGTGTCCAGGACCTGGAGGTGTGGGGCCTGGCCTGACCCCGCAGCCCACATCTGGGACCAAAGGTGGCATCAGGGGCGGCACTTTGGTACCAATGTCTGGTGCACACCTGTTCCCTGCCAGCACCCGTCAAGCCTGCCGGATGGTGCACAGCCTCACCCCTGCCTCCCTCCACCCTGTCCTCACCAACACCTCCATTTCACGTGCCAACAGGCGGGGGGGGGACACACACACGACATGATGGGGACAGGCTGCAGTGGGATCTCAGCCTCCCACAGTGCTGTTGTCAACACGCTGGGGTCCCTAGGCTGGCTGCAGGACAGCCCCCTGCCTCGGCAGCGAGCACTCTGCCTGGCCAGGACAATGCCAAGCCACACTGGGAGGAGGCTACGTGGCAGGGCCAAGCACCGCAGGGGCCCCAGGTGGAGGAGCAAGCTCCGAGAGCAGCGTGATGCCAGCAGCACCAAGCAAGCCCAGGCAGCCTCTGCCCCATGGGCCACGGGCCCCAGGGGTGGCACTGCCACGGCTGGCGGGTGATACAGTCATCAATAAACAGGCAGAGCTGCACCCCCAGCCTTGTCCTTGCCATGGAAGCAACAAACAGCGCCATGAAGTTGTGCAAAGTGAGTGGTGGGGAGCAGACTGTGCCCCGTCCCAGCCTGGCACTGTGTGCCCACAGCAAGCTCAGGGGGTTGGCCTGGGGGCTGTGGGGACCCATCCCCCCTCTGCCAGAGTCCACAGTCTCTGTCCGCCCTGTCACCTGCCAAGGACCAGGGCTTCCTCCTCAGGGGCATCCAGGCTACACCAGGTATCTCGCCCCAACCTGCTCCCAATAGGGAGGGGATGATATGAGCCCTCCCCAGGCCCCTTCCCACCCGCAGCTCCACAACCTGCAGCCTCTCACGTGGCTGTCCCTCATTCCTGGATGCTGGGACAGCTCTCCTCCTCCTTCACCACCTGCCATTCCTGTCTGAGCAGCAGGACCAGCCCCACACGTGGGGTTCAAGGCCAGGTTGGGTGGCCCAGGGGTTTCCATGGGAAGACAAGGGCCTGCCTGGTTTGGCCAGATTTGATTTATTTATTTAGGGCCTGTGCCCAGGCACTGAGCTGAAGCATCACCCCATGACCTCACCCACTGTCAGCTCCTACCCTAAACCTACAATTTTGTGAAGGCTGGATCCCACCAAGCCCCAGGCTGCAGTACTTTACACACACCCCACGCATACCCACATTGAACCTCACCAGCCATTTCCCGTCTGATTCCATCTCCCACAGCCCTATGGAGATGCTCTGTGGCTGGCTTCTCTCTCCTCATGCTATTTGACTACTTGTTCCCTTTCCAAAGTAATTTACCGAGCTGGTGAGTAGTCCCAGCGCTGACCCTCCATTGCAAGAGCTGACCCCATCCTCCTGCTTCCCACTGGCTCACCTCCCACCCAAGCTTCACTGCCTGCTCCCCTCTCCAGGGCAGAAATTGCCCCGGACACAGCACCCAGCATGGCCCCGCTGGAGAGCCAGGCCTGGGGAGCACCTGATGGGTGCTGAAGGACGTCAAGAGCTGCCACCTCCTCCAGCTGCTCCAGCCCAGGACCCTCCTGCCCAGCCACTGGAGCCTACTGTCTACCCAAGGGACACGGTGGCCTCAATCTGCCCTGCCCCCTGCACACACCAGCCCTCTCCCCCCCCACCAAGCACCAGATGGCCCAGCTTAAAATTTGCCTACAAATGACACCCCACCCCGGACACCCAGTTTGGGTACAATATAGCTACTCGCTGCCCCAGCAGCCAGCACTGGCACCCCCACCCGCTCCAGTAGCTGACACCACAGGCCAGGGGTGATCGCTCTGACCTGTCGCTGGCCCCAAACCCATTCACACCATCCTCTCCAGCAGCTGGCACCTCGTCCTTGCAGCACACCTCCACACAGGCTAGCCGAGATTAATGGAAAAAGAGTTCAGAAGGGATTTAGGATGACAAGACAGGAGATAAGACAGATCGGGCAGAGGGCTGAGGCAGACAACGCACCGACTGGCCCCATTCTACAGGCAACCCTTTTCTAGCCCTCCTCTGCCTGCCCTCTCCTGCTTCCTCCCTCCTCCTCTGCTTGTAGAGTCCCACCAACCCCCTCCAGCATCCCACACCCACAGGGTTACACCCCACCAGCTGCGAAGTCCCAAGTGCCTGTCGCTTCTTGAGAGCCCATCAGTTAGTGGGGCAGAGGAGGTTTGTCTCCCCGCCTTTCTGTATCCTCTCAGCTGAAAAAATAAACTTTCTCCTGCTCCCCATACCCTTCCCAAGGAGTGCCACCCACCAGGTCTCTCCTCATAGAATGGTTTGGGTTGGAAGAGACCTTAAAGGTCAACCAGTTCCCACGCCCCTGCCCTGGGCAGGGACACCTCCCACCAGCCCAGGTTGCCCAAGGCCACATCCAGCCTGGCCTTGAACACCTCCAGGGATGGGGCCTCAACCACTTCTCTAGGCAACCTGTTCCAGTGCCTCACCACCCTCAAAGGGAAAAACTTCTTACTAATGTTTAATCTAAACCTGCTCTCTTCCAGTTTAAAGCCATTCCCCCTCATCCTATCACTACATGCCCCTGTAAAAATGCCCTCCCCAGCTCTCCTGTAGGCCCTTTAGGTACTGGAAGGCCGCAATAAGGTCTCCCTGGAGCCTTCTCTTCTCCAAGTTGAACAGCCCCAACTCTCTCAGCCTTTCCTCATAGGAGAGGAGATCATCTTCATGGCCCTCCTCTGGGCACATTGTTGCCTCATGGTCAACCCGTGTGTCCACCAGGATCCCTAGATCCTCTTCTGCCAAGCTCCTTCCCAGTTGGGTGGCCCCCAGCACATACTGAACGAGGCTGGACTTTGCACTTCTTGTTGAACTTCATGAGGTTCCTGGCAGGCCATTTCTCCAGTTTGGCAAGGTGCCTCTGGAGGGCAGCATGACCCTCTGCCATATCAGCCACCCCCCCACACTTGGTGTCATCTGCAAACTTGCCATCATCTGCAAACTTGCCGATGGTGGACCCTGTCCCATCATCCAGATCAGTAATGAAGACTACTTGAGACAGAACCCAGTACTGACCCCTGGGGTACACCAACTGGCCTCCAACTAGATTTTGTGTCACTGATCAACCACCCTCTGGGCCTAGCTCAGTTTTCAGTCCAGCCCCTGTCTGCTCATCCAGACCATGCTTCCACAGCTTATTGAAGGAGACAATACCCACTGCTCTCCCCTCAGCTCCCAGGCCAGGCACTTCACCCTAGAAGGTGGTCAGGGTGGTCCAGCATGACTTCACTTTTCCTTTTCCCCTACACAAGAGTTGGAGCAGCACCTAACACCACCCCAGGCACTGTAAGGATGCCAAAGTTGCAGGCCTGCCTGCTCTGCCCAGGCACGGCAACGGCTGGGTGGCTGCACTTTCACCGCAAGGCAGGAAGAGAGGTTGGATCCTCCATCCTGGCACAACCTCCCCGCCCCTGTCCCCATGGTCCCTTGCAGCCCAGCTGGGCTCCACTGTCGTCACCACTCACGTCGCACTTGAGTAAACATAAATGAAGAAACCATCTTCCCAAGCTGGAAGACCTGCACGTCCACAGAGCAGCATTTGTCCTTTAGAAATACATTTGGCTGTTTATAAGTAAGCAGTAAGACCATTTTTAATAAAGTTCAAACACTGCAATTCCTTAAAAAGAATAGTAAAATCATTGTTTATACATTTATTCTTAGTTCAGAGAGGCTCAGATTAACACGTTTGAGAAAAAGAAATGGTCTGTCTCAGACTTTAACATTAAGTATGAATTTTTGCTTAAACGTAAGCAAAAGATATTTCCCAAGTATAAAGTGCACCTTTTATAACAGATTCAAAACAAACCCAAGCAACAATAACAAAATTACATTATTCTGGACAATACTTGATTTTATGCAGATAAGGAAGGATAAATGTCTTCGTTCTACGATGTTGTTTCTTGAAGCAGAATAAGTTCTTTAAAAGCTTTTAAAGAGGTCGCAACCCCTTCTAATAGATATCTGGTACACCTGCAGATCTGAAATACTGCTAAAGATATGAACAGCAGAGGTTGTGCCATATCACCTTTAGACACACGAGCACAGGTACATAAGAAAGCAGCAGAACGCAAAATGACTTCTGGTTATTTCAACACCTGAAATCTGAGTGAGCATGTGAATACTCACTGTCCTTCCCTCTGCCTGACAGCTATCAGTTCCCATGATAAAAAGGGCAAAAGAAACATAATCGGATACGAAGAGCGATTTGCGGTTCTCTCAGTGACTTCCCATTGGGTTAGTTTCCAGAAACTAACCTTGTTACCCACACTTGGCTGTCTAAATTGAATGCTGAACTTCTCTTTCCCCATTTCAGATATAAAAATCCAAAGCTCGTTCCAATTTCTGAGCATTACTGAACCTTTTGCTTTGCAATTTTAGTTTTGACGGTGGGCTTTTTCAAGGTTTTAGGTTTTATTTAATGAAAGCAGCCTTCCTCTTAGACCTGAGTAAAATATGAGAGGAAAAATCTCTTCCTCGTTCACTTTTTCATTTGGACAGACATTTGGCAATCCTCACATTAGTACTGCCAGTAAAGGAAAAATGCGAGAACCCTTATAGTTCTACAAGGAGGGGGGAGGGGAAATTACACAGTAACAGCAATCAGACATCTAGGGGAAACAGGGAAGGGATACAAGAATGGAAGAGTTCCTGAAGAGCCTGTCTACCTAGTACAGTGTAATGCAGCAACAAGGTACACTTGGGGCAAGGACGAGCAGAGCCAATGCAGCATTCTGCTGGGACTCACGAACTGTCCCAAGAACCGTGCACGCGTCCACCCACCTCCACAAATGCTCGGGTAGCTCTGCTCTCCTGCAAGCGCTCAAACAATGGACGTTTTGAGTAGTTTTTGCAGTTCAGTGTAACAGTAAAAATATAACATTCAATGTATCAAAAATACACTATAAAACAAGTAAAGGCTGCATGGCGCTGCAATGCATTGTAATTTCAATAAAAAAATGTGGTCACA